TTCATAATAACTAAAATTGTTTATTCTTTGTTTAAATATCTAATTTGGACCAAATTTGAACACTTGTCTATATAAAAAAACTGTGTAAATCATTTTTAGATTTTTTAGATAAAGTATGAACTACTTATGAGAAACTTGTTTTAAATATCCAATCCTTAGCTATACAAATTTGACATTTTATAATTTTCTATCTTTATAGACTATAAAATAATTTGTTGATCTTGATTAATTTTGTCAAAATTTGAACTTTAAATGCGTATAAAAAAAAATCTTGGCTTTTTATCTGTAACTACTATTTAAAATGAATATAGACATTTATTTAATATTAGTGAAAATTACAAAATAAATAATTGGTGAAAATTTCAAGTACTTAAGGTTATTTGTTTTTGAATTACAACAAAATAAGAAAATCGTTCCATAAGAATATTCGTTTATTTACGGCTGAAAATCCAATGTCAAAAAAAGTTTGACCTTTAAACGCACACATAAAATTATTATGACATTCGGGTTAACTTTTTGTTTTTGCTGTAGGTAGGAAAAATTATTCCATGTTATTTTCAATTTTCAAATCTTACAAGTAAAAGAAAAAAAATGATAAACTTCTAACTCAAAATAATTTAATAATTTTCGTGATTTTGAATACATTTTTAAAAATTCAACTTCAATTGGTGATAAACAATTGTTATAAATTCACCTAAGTTAATTTTACTGAAATTTACTACATATTTGTTACCGATTTTCTATTAGTCTTACAGACATTGTCCCCGAGTAAAAAAATTATCGTGCCTTTATATGTCTTTTACAACTTCCTTTAATGAAACTTATGAGGAACTTGTATTAAATTGTCGATCATTTTACTTAATGAAAAAGTTTTATCCAGGAAAAAAAAAATTTTGCAAAATTCCAAATATTTCGAAGATGTTATCAATTTTAGAAAATACTAATATAAATATCAGGTGATAATTTCAAGTATCTACAGTTATAAGTTTTTGAGTTACACCAAAAACTAAAATCGATTTTTTCAACTATTGGATTTGCGTAAAAAATAGCATTTTTTTCACTGTTTTTGTTTTACAAGACGCTTTAAAAGGGTACTTTAAATTTTCAAGATGCTGATGTCTGGAATCGGATCATTTTCACTATCCCATATGTTAACGACAGTCAAAAAAAAATATTTATATGTATCGTTGTAAAATAATACATTCATCGCTCAGCTCAGAATCTTAAATAATATCAATAATATCCGAACAAATCAAAGTTTCATGATGTGTATTAGGTACGTCAAAAAATCATAATAAATAATAAATTGTAAGAACTAATAATTATAAAATATGTAGATTGTAGGTATATTATGTAGGTACTTATAATATTTTGAAATGTGAACTAAAATTATGTGACACGATTTGTAGATATTTAAGGTTTGTTAGCCTTGAGGCATTTACAAGCTATAACAGTAACATAAATTAATTTTTGCTGAAGAAGTTAATAGGAAAAGGTCATTGTGCAGGAGTGAGCACAAGAGGATAGGGGGAAGGGGGGTGCTGGGTTATGGGGCCATATTTGGGCGTAGAATTCTAGAGCTACCTTTGAATGAAGGGGAATTTGTAAGAATTTTCCTAAGGGCAATATTGTTTGAATTACATTAATTGTTAAAAGGTTATTTGATTTTTTATTATCTGCCTGCAATTGGAGTTTGTAATGTTTGTATGTTAATCTAAGGCGACCTAAGTACAATTAAACACACTTTTTACCTAACGAAAAGTATTTGTACGAAAATGGGTACACACATTTTGAATTTCAGTAATAACTTTTCGACAAAAGTACACCACCGCGCCGTTTTCTTGCTAAGTAGTCTTACCGTTTAACTATTGGACTATATAAGACTTGTATAGTTTCAATCTAAAGTGCACGCCCTCTAATACGTATTTGTCGTATGTTTTTCATATTTGTCATTTGTCAACAATTCATTCACTTTGTAAATATATACTTATTATCTATATCGCACATTATATTGCACCTACCTATGTTATCTAATATGTACATATAATTTATAAATAGATTAATGTAGGAATTAAGTAGGTACTGCAATAATGTGTCCTGCTGCTAGAACAGCTGTGTGTTTGTTGATTATAACTGTATTGAGTAGCACACATAGGCGTGTGAAAGGGGGTGCTGGCACTGCTGGCCGCTGGGTATGACTGGGCACCCTCGACATTTTATAATTGGAGCCTTAAAATGTAAGTCCCTGAGCATAGAGCCCGTATTATAATATTGATGTTACTAGAATAAAATGTAATTTTTTCTAAAATATGTGGAAAAAATAAATCATGTTTCGTGAAAAAAATAATAAAACATAAAATATTTTAAATTTGCATGGAATAACTTATTATGATTATAACAGGTAGATGTTATTGACTACAAAATTCCAAAAACAATAAATAGACATTGCAATCAACTTAGAAATATGTTTTAGATCCAAGGAAATGTATAACTAGGTATTAGTAATTAATAATTAATAATTATATACCACTGATCAATAAGTACATTGTATACATGCCTTGTTGAGAGAAGAGAACTAAGAAAAGGGCACAAGAATATTTTAGATACACCCTGAAATTCAAGTCAACTCACACCTACGGTGTGTACCTGTAAAATAAAATACTTAATATATTTTTAAAGTTTCAAGTAGCCATAAACCCACAAATAAATTTTAAATTAGGTACAACAAAATAATTAAAATCTTATTTATTACGTCATTCTTCGTTTAATTATTTAATTTTGTTCAAATTTGAATTTAAATGTCAATAAATCAAAAATATTTATATATTTTTTTAGATTCTTTGGTTACTGTAGGAACTACTTACACAAGGAATCTTGTTTTAAATGTTTCTATCCTCCCTAGCTATACAAATTTAACATTTTATACATTTTAATCACAAAATAATTTAGACATTTTCAATTTAATTAATGTTGTTACTTTTTAAAATTTGAAATTCAAAATACTTATAAAAAAAATCGTGAGGTACTTTCAATATTTTTAAGCTACTATTGTAGCAATGTATGAGGAGCCTTGTGTTAAATTTTCAAGCTATTTTACCCCCAAAAAATTGTATTGACATTTATAAATAACAAAACTTAAAAAGACAAATAGACAATAATAAAAAAAACATTTTGATAAAATTCCATGTATCTTCAGTAATTCGTTTTTGAATTACAACAAATTTAGAAAAATGGGAAATCAGATATAAATTTAAACTTTAAACGCTCTTAAAAATTAAATTAACTTTCCGGTGGACTTTTTTTTTTGTGAAACGTAGGCAATCTTATGAGGAATTTTGTATAACATTTTAAAATTTTGGATAAAAAAAAAAATGTTTATGAATTTCTAACTCAAAATAGTTAATTTAAGACTATGCTGTATATTGAACAGATTAACTATCTAAGTCTGAACCAAAATGGATTCAGATATCAACGATCAACAACTACTCACAAATTAAAGTCCCATCCGTGTACGAAAATAAACTGGAAAAATATAAGTATATCATAATAGTATTCTTTGTCTAATAACCTACAGTGCTCGAAATGGACCAGGAAGTATTGGAACGGCATTCCAGCTCGTAATATTAGTCTTTGCATCCGTTCCGGTTGGTTATATTTAGAATTCAAGAGTGAAAAAAATGCATGGCTATAAAATATAAACAGGCCAAAAAGAGTCAAAATAATGTTTTTAAAATTGCAAGTGTTTTCGGACAAAAATTCCGAAGCATTGAGGAAATTATTATTAACTCTTAATCAATTCGTACATTTTCATTTTTTAAGCGTAAAATATAATAATTTGAGTAGTATTACCACAACGTAGTTCTAGAAATCATACACCTTTCTACATCCCTCCTTCCACCTCTAATTACTTAGCAAATGAACCTATCACAAGATGATGACTCTTGTAAATGTGGACGCTTCCCGCCTTTGTATTAACAGAACATTATTACCTTATACCATACCTATTATGTATATATTTAACTTCTATGTATTTTGTTAGTAATAAGCCTGGTAATTTGCAACTTTAATTTAATTGTAAAACTGTATGTATGATGTATCTAATATTTTATTTCCCAGAGGGCTAGTCCCGTAAATATATAAAAATAAAATAATATGTATTTATCGTTTATTGTAAACATAAATTTAAAATTAATATTAGCAAAGGTAGGTAGCGTAGGTATCTAGGCATATCCGCATACGACATATTCGTACTTTTTTATTTCGGGCACTGCTGATAAGGTTTTGATGAATATCACAACCATAGACCTATTAACAATCGACTAATTAGTTAATAGTGTATGATCACAACAATACTTAAAACTTAAAACTTAACTAAAGTTAGTAAATTTATTAACAACTTTGTAAAGTAAAATTTAAGCACTAGGTACCTATACAATTTGATCAATCTAGATGAAGTCAGAATTTATGTTTTTCTAAAATACATTAAAAAAATACTAGTTTTTTTCAATAATTTTATATGGTTTTTTAAAAAAAAAAAACGTGATGAATTTGTTGTTAACCAATTAAAAATCATAGTTAGCTTAATATATCATTGTTTTAAAATAACTACTAAGTATCAGTCAAGTAATCCCAGTATGAGCCTTACCAAACATCTTCTCCTTAGGATAGTGGAAGGCAATTAATTCAATGTCAAGGATTATAGTGTGATATTAATATATTATATTAATAATGATAGCAAAGATTTAAAAACAATAATCTAAATGAAAAGTAATATTTTACAATTTTTGCAAACATATTTTGATAAAACCGTCTGTATAAATCAATAATATACAATCATTAAGAGAAATATTTCTATGTACCCATAGGCATATAACAATACAACATGTTTATTATACCAATATGGCAATATCATAATAGAAAATGATAATACATAATTTAACTATTTTAATTTTAAAACAACAATCAATATTTAAAAATAATGCAAAAATCAATTTAGAAGTTCAAAATTAAGGTTATTTAACTCTTCACAAACTAAAAAATATACATTGTAATACATTTTTTTACTGTCAAAGATCAACGTAGTTATTCTACGTCATCTTTATCTCCTTTATTAATAAATATAATTAGTATTATCTATAAGATACTTTTTTTCAATTTAGTATTACTTATTTTCACTTAGCATAAATTAACCGGAGACATTCAGTTGTCATTTCGTCTTCATTGAAAATACTGTAAGACAGTAACACCAAATTGAACAACAAAAAGTTAGTTAAAGCCTTATTCAATTCACTTGTAATCGATTTGTTATTTAATCCCATGACCTTAGATCATATACAATAGAACTATGTGCATATTGCTTGTGTACCAAGCTGTGTCATAATCCCCACTACCCATTTCATTTCAGGGAATAATGTGTCATTGTGCCAACTACCGCTATAAAATAACTAATACGTAGAGGTTATATCAGACACAGAAAATTATTAAGGGAGCTCCATTGTATATGATAAAAGATTGTAATACTATTTTAAAGACGCAAGTAGGTAATTCCACCCGTAATACATGCTATAACTGTACGATCATTCAAATACACAGTTCAAGATATTATATTTACAATCACTGATTTTCATGTTTATTACCCAATATTATTGTTACAAACTTATAAAAAGTCATTTGATGTACACAGATATAAGAGTTTTGTCAGAACCTTAAAATTAATGTAATTTTACGAAATATATCATTATGACCAGTTTTGTTATGGAAAATACCAACTGTATAAAAGTAGAATATATGTAAATATATATTAGAGTATAAGGCTAGTTTTTATTTATATTTTTTTTTTTATTTAACAAAATTTAACAAATTACATTTAATTTAATTATTAGTTTTTAGTTCAGAACTTGTTTTTCCTAATGTCTTAGGTAATTTTTTATTAGTAGAGTCTTCAAGTTCTCTGTCTTGATAGTAATGAGGAGCTACTTCACGTAGCCATTTACTCTCAATCTCCGTGACTTGTCTCATATACTCTTTAGTTGTTAATACTAACTCATGGTATAGAACCCATCTTGGGAGCTCTTCAAACAGACTGCTATTTGGATGAATAATAACAGTTTGATTATGTTTAACAGTGCGATAATGACCTTTTGACAGTCTTGCAATATGATAAAAATAACCGGCAGTTATGGCCTTAAACAAATAAATTATTTTTATGTATAATAAAAATAAAAATTTCTCATATAATTTTTAAAAATAACAATGTCATACTTTTCGAATATTAACAGTTTCAGTTGGATTTGATACTATATCCATTTCAACACGTTGCATTAAACCAACTAATTGATCTCTGACATCCCGAGCTCTGCGCATTGATCTATGTTGAATATAATTTTCATAACACCAATTTGTACTAAAATCTGTATTGGCCCATTGGTTATAAATGTTTAATAAAGCTAAATGATCACCACCTTGTGAAAAAAAATTTTTACGAGCTGTATCAGCTAAAATTAATTTATCTTTGGGTCGGTAAAATATAGCACTGTTCACATTTAACATTGCCGCTATGGAAGCAATTTCTTCTGAACATTTATACCTGGAATTTAAAAATATAGTTAGATGAATTAACATTAATTTTTTTCGTTATTTGTTAAAACGTTTAAGAATAATAATTGACCACTGTAAATTAAAATAATTTTTGTTTTTATTGTGATGCATTTATTAAAATAGTGCAATAATTATATATATCTTATTATTGTATATTACTTATAAATATTTTTAAATACAAATTAAAGATACTAACTTTTCAGATGCCAAGAGCATTTTTGCCATCATTGGGTCTAATGGGAATTCAGCCATACGACGTCCTAATTTGGTTAATTCACCCTTGTGATTCAATGCACCCAATGCATAAAGTTGTTCCAATGCAAGTACCTTAAAAAAAAAGAATTTTTTTTTAAAAATTTAGATTTCATAAATAAAATAAATAAATAAATTTCAAAATAACTTACTAATGTTTCATGCGGGGGAGGATCCAGAAAATCAAAATGTATCAAGTCATGAATACCAAGAGCCTTTAACATCAATACAGCATTACCTAAATTAATTCTTTGAATTTCTGGAACTGTATTGTCTTCAAGTTCACTTTTATAAGCCCATGATGTATACAAGCGAAAACATTTACCAGCAGCTACTCGACCAGCTCTCCCAGCTCTTTGATTAGCACTTGCCTAAAGTATTAACAACAATAAAAAAAAAATTGCAAATCCATCGTTACAAATAACTTACCTTTGATATTGGTACAACTATTAAAGATTCCATGCCAGTTCGTGAATTGAAATTATTTTGTTTACAAAAACCTGGGTCAATAACATAAATAATATTGTCGATTGTCAAAGAAGTTTCTGCTATATTTGTGGCTAAAACAACCTAAAGTGAAATTTATATTATTATTACTATTGGATGATTAAATTTAACTTCAAAAAACAAAAAAAAATAAATATTAAAATTACTTTTCTAGCATTGGGAGGTGTAGGCTCAAAAATTTTGGCTTGCATCTCAGTAGGTAAATTACTATAAACTGGTAATAAAATCAGTTCTTTGATTTGAGAGCCAAGTCTACGAACACGCTCCTGCAGTAGTTCATTACAAGTCTCAATCTCCTCCTGACCAGTTAAAAAGACTAGTATATCTCCAAGGGGCTGTGTAACATGTATCTGTAATATAGATACAACACAGGCATCAATATAATCCGCCTCAGGTGCTTTTGTGTAGTATATATCCACAGGGAAACGTCTTCCTATAACAGACATACAAAAATAGATTTAGTATTTACACAAAGAAATTATACAATTATAACAATGTTTACCAGGTATTCGAAATATAGGCGCATCATCAAAAAATTCAGAAAACTTCTGGGCGTCTAAAGTGGCACTAGATATTAATAATTTCAAATCTGGTCTGAATCGTATAACATCTTTTACTAAACCAAATAAAATATCAGTGTGAAGGGTACGTTCATGAGCTTCATCTACAATCATCACACTATAAGACTGCAAATCTGGTTCAGACAAAAACTCTCTATGCAATGTTCCGTCAGTCATGTATTTAATTATAGTGCGCTCTGAAGTGCAATCTTCAAAACGTATACTGTAACCAACCTAAAAGTTGTACCAAATGTCAATATATTAATTTTTACTTCTTTTTAAAATATTATTAGATTGTTTACTTCGTTTCCAAGTTTAACAGACATCTCTTCAGCTACACGAGCTGCCACTGACATAGCAGCTACTCGTCTAGGTTGGGTACATCCAATTATTTTGTTATTTTCTGTGAAACCAGCTTCATGTAAATATTGAGGAATTTGTGTCGTTTTGCCAGAACCAGTTTCACCTTCTATGATAAGTATCTAAGTAAAACAAAATAATTTAAATGTTATAATTAAATGAAGTGTTAGTTGAAATAAAATTAATACTTGATGGTCTTTAATGGCTCTTATTAGATCTTTTTTGAATTTATAAATAGGCAAACTCTTTTTTGTCTCTTCTATGTTAAGTTTTTTCTTTTGTTTTTCAGTTATTTCAGGTTTTTCCTGAAAAGCAAAAATTAAAAAAAAAAACATTAAATATAAATTATTTTGTCAAAAGGTATTAACATACATCTTCCTGTGTGCCAGGTAAATTTGCAGTTTGAATAAAATCTATTTGATTATCAATCAATAATTCATATTGTTCTTTTTCTTGTCTTTTAGCACCAAATTTATAAACAGCAGAAGACATCTGTTCTTCTTCCCATTTTTGTTGTTCAGTAATTGGTGCTTTATCAACTTCCATCTCATACTCCATCTGGTCATCTTTAATATCTTGAGGCATCCGATAACGCTGAACATTTTCAAGTTCTCTAGCTTTTTCATGTTCTTTGGCGAGACTCAATAACTTCTTTTTGTGTTCACGATCAAAAATTTCACGTTGTGATAAACTAGATAAAAAATAATAATTTAATAGTATATGTAAATCTACATATCTAAAATATAGTTAAAACTTACTCTTCAGTATCAAATAAATATTCATCGTCTATGATATCAGCTTCAAGTTCAGTGACCTTATCATCTTTTCTTTTTTCGAGATATTTACGACGAGACTCAATACGGAGTCGAGGAATGACCATTTCTTTCTCACGTTCATTTTCTAATTTTAATCTTTTTGCTGCCTCTTCGTAAGCTTTTTTATCTACCCAATTATTCAACGAATTATACATTTTTGTATAAACAATATAAAATATAACATTTATTTAGTAAATAGGTTATTGTATTATTATATCTAAATTATGTATCGAGTTGAATCAAAAATATTTTGTATGTATATACAGAATACCTATCATTATATTTGAAGCTTTTATTAAATGTATTATACTTGGTATTCGGTAAATTGGTAGCAAACAATTGATCGTCAATGAATTTATTGAGTGCAAATAGATCGCAAATACAGTTGGTCGCCCAAAATAATAATTGATCATCAAACAAACATTTTTACTTATTTAGTTATTTTAGTATACTAATTATATAATTAATATTTAATATACAAATTTCCTAGTTTTATGTTTATTATTTTAGAATATTTAAATAATCTTACTTCTTTATTTTTAAATAACGAACAATAAATAATGGACTATTATAGGTACAATATACTAATATTTGATACAAAATTTGAACTGGAGTGACAATAACTTCGATAATCTTGTACGGTCGTTATCGACTTATCATCATCTATATTCCGTTCATCATACCAATTTGTCATTACATACTTGTGTTTATTGGTATAATGCTGGTGCAATATTTTGTGTGTTGAGTATGTTTTTAATGTATTGTAATGGAATTTATTGAGAGTGAAAAAGGCAAATATAAATTTATTTATAATGGTTAATTTCATAATTTTCAACTTCAACTTTAAATTTGAATTATATTTTTTAAATTTAATTAATTGTCATTATAATCATATTTCATGAATTATTAACAATGAACAATGTAATATGTAATTTTTATTTGATCTAATTTAAATTAAAATTTTTTTTTAATGTTTGTTAAGGAAATGGGGGTATTAAATAATAATTATGTAATTAGTATAATAAAATAACTAAAAATTAAAAATGTTTGTTCAAATATCAATAATTCTGGCGACCAATTGTATTCGCAATCAAATTTGCCCGCAACCAATTCACTGCAATCCATTAAATTTTATTAAAATAATTTATTTTAAACTAATTGTGTTTATTTTTATTATCATCCCTACAACTCATTTTAAAATATAAAACTATTATTATCCCTAAAAGTTATTTTAAAATATAAAATAGGCGCCTATCAGAATTAAATAAACATATGTTTGCTATATCATCCATAAATGAATTTGTCATTTAAATAGTAATATAAATTTAATTATTAACATTTTATATTCTATTAAGTATTTTAGAATTTATTTAAAATTGAATCAATATTGTGATTCATCCAAAAGGTATTAAAAATAACACTACTTTTTATGTATTATAGTATGTTTATACAAATCGATACTTCAAAAGCAAAATTTATATTTTTATTTCCTTAAATACAGTAGTAGAAAAAAAAGAACACGGTAAAAAAGAACAATTTTTAAAAATGTAAAATATGATACTAATTGATTATGAAAATTAAAAAAATGCATACATTTCAAAATTAGTGGGTAAAGTGATCACTTATTATGCACACATTAAAAAATTTTAAATACATCAAAAATAATCAAAAAAAATATTACAAAATTATTGAATTCCTTAAAAACGGTCGGTATCCAATCCCCCTAACAAAAATGTATATTTAATTATATTTAATTTATTGTTAGTTGTTGATTGTTATTATTATTATTGAAATATAAATATAATATAATATAAACTCATTTTTTTTGCTGTTTTTATTTCATAAAACTATAATAAATACAATATAACTTATGATATTATAGAGAGTAAAATGCAATTTTTATTGGGTACTGGAATTCCGTATGTACCTAAAAATTTTTAATGTGTGCATAAAAGTGATCACTTTACACACTAATTACAAATGTATGCGTTTTCTTAATTTCCATAATCAATTTGCATTATGTTTTGAATTTTTAAAAATTGTTTTTTATTGGTTGTTTATTTTTGCCTTGGTCTTTTTTCCGTGATCTGTTGAATACATATATATATATATATATATATATACATACTATTTCTGTAGAATGGGTAAATTAAAAAAATTAAAATATTATTGCAGCCAACTGCAATAACTGCACTAATCCAACTGGTATTTTATCAGTAAATAATCTGTAAGATTCCAATTTGAAAGCAGATGTCTTGTAAATATTTGTTTATTTTTATTCTTTACTAGGCCACTATTTTAATTTAAAAAATTCAAAGTTTTATTTTAAACATAGATTTTATGTTTTGTATACAATATGTATTTAAAATTAAAGAAAAAATACTTCAATTAAAGTACCTACAGATATCTATCACGGTAAATTAATAATCGTACTTAAGAGTGAAGACTTTTTGATTAAACAATGATTTAAAAATTCTTAGACAATATTTTCAAAACATTCAGAATTGTTTCAAAAAACACAAATAAAACATTTTTCCTGGTTCTACTTAAACATTTTTTTTCATCACTCATGCGCCAAAAATTTGATGTCGAATACTGGTTGAATTATTGATAAATTACCTATTTACATCCAACGGATATTAAATATTTATTTTAAGGCCTGCGGGCAATTAAGTGGAGACGCCGCTACACAGCAAGCAGAAAGGTTACGGTCAAAATGACAGTAATATAATAAATGAACGTATTATTATTTCATTAAGTTTTGTCTCAAATATCAAATACTATTTTTATAGCTGGACGATGGGTTACTTCCATGTTGTTCTATATTAAATGTTTGGAGATGCCTAGAACAGCAAGAACAGTTCTCTATAGATTAACATAATATCAATAAAAGAATTTTCGAGTTGGCAGAGACATGACTGCATGACATAAAATGGTATCTATCGCTCAGGCAAGAAGGATATGTTAATCTTGTGCACATTGTAGTCATTGCCTGACATGGCCAACAAACGTTGCCCACGACTGAAAAAGCTCAATATTTCTTGCTTGTCACACAATTTATTATTGAAATGCACAAGTAACATTAACTAAATGATGGATAAATAAATATCTGATGCATAAATAACGATATAAATCATGAACTTCGTATTTTGTTAAATATTTTTATTTGCGTAATTAAGGACTTTTAATACAATTTTAATAATATCTACAAGACTTACCGGATCGAGGAATAGCAATATTACGAGTTCTGTCTTTGTCTTTTCTTTTGAGCCTTTCCGCAAATTTATCACGTTCTCTGCGATCCTCTTCACTGTCACTAGAAGCCATCGTTAATATTAATACTTAACAAAAGTAAATAAATGCTAAGTAAATTGTTTTGTGAAAAATTAAAGTTTAAACGTACGAAATCGTAATGTTTATTGTTTACAGTTTACGCTGATAACTCCGGCGGCCGAAATTGTTATCCGTTTTTCCAGGTTCCACGCCTTGCGGTGATAACGTCGATGGCGGTCGCGCGGTTATACTTTTCAAACTTATGATGTATCATTTTTTACAATGTTTTACCATTGTCTTATGGTTTTACTGATCTGCAGCCACTATTGAACATTAGTACCTATTATTATTTAGTATTTACTCATTATTATTCGGTTTGAAATTTGAACATTGAAAAACTACTTCAGTGAATTTACGTTATAAGTGTTTATGATATTTATAATAAATATTAATTACATTTGACTTGCAATAAGTATAAATTATAATTGTGGTAATCAAAATATCTAGTCATGGTAGATTTCGAGTGAATATTTTACAGTCACATTGCACATCAGGGCCAGCGGAGTATATACATATATATATATATATATATATATATACATCAGTATCCGGCTCATTAACTGTATTTTAATATTACAGATATATCTATAACAAAATGGTATGGCCAATATTTAAAAGAAATTAGCTTTAAAATCATAAATATTAGTATTGACAAGTAAATTATGTTTTATATTATCCTTGAAATGTTAAACATTTCTGACTACCCCCCCCCCCTGACATTTTATAATATATTCGCTTTATTATATTCACCCAAGGCCGGAAGGCCCTAATTATTAAGTAAGGACCCCAATAAATTGGTTAGTTTGCGATATTCTTTTGATATGGGTATGAATAATTTTATTACCTTAATACTCAAGTACTAAGTTTTAAAAGCTTTAATTAAAACTAGTTCTACAAGTATAAAAACTGAAAATCAAATATCAAAAGCACAAAGTAAATGATAAATAGCGTTAACGAAAGTTGCCAATGACTCAAAATAACAAAAACTTTGTTTTCTATCAAAAGAGAACTGACTGTGTATATGTCGTTCACTAAAAGTTTGAATAATTTCTCAAAAAATGGTACGTTAACAATAATTTATATAGACGTACAGTTAATTTTAATATTGTTTTTACATTACTTATTTCTCTTGTAAAGTTATACACATACCCTTTTTTTATTTAGATAGAGTTTTAATAAATGTTCACTGTAAGAACTGTACCTAATCCTAATGACTTTCAAAATTCTTATGGCCACTAATTTTTAATGTGCACAAAGAGTCATAAGTCATAACTTTATCAATTCAAATGTTGTTAACTTAATTTACAAGACTCACAAAATATGTTGTAAAATTTACAATTGAATGTGTCAATATTAATAAAAAACCCTTTTTATTTTTATTAATTCTTATTCAAAATTCTTACACAAAAGCAATCCAAAAAAACTGTTAGAAAGTGGTTACCGCTTTGCTGTGCAATAGGTGCCGTGTAAGTAACTTTAATGGATGTATTAAATACTTATAAATTTGAATTTAATTATATAAAATCATTGAACAAGAAAAACGATTCTGAGCGAAGACACAGTCTTTTAGTCTATATATTACAATAAGTATCTATATTTTATGATATTAATTATTATTCCTATTAATTATTAAAACCAGCGGTACCTACCTATTTTTCTTTTATTATTGATGATTAGTGATACAATATTGGCTATTGTCTATATTTATCAATAATAATGATCGATATTAATTTTTTCAAGTTTTTGTATAATAGTACATAATGTTGGCACCTCATTTGAAAATCAGTGCACCTCGAAGTGTTAAAAAATAAAATACAACAGTCTCAGTAGAGGTTAAAATATTTTGAAGACTAAATAGTTTAAAATTTTTAGTAATTTACATTTTAAATCACCATGGTGGGAGTTCGTCTCTCGAAGTTTCCCGCATTTTATATTAGTCATTAGGGTACTCATTAGACATAAATGTTCTCAGTTCTGCATTCTCTAATTTCCACACCCCCGATATTTCGCGGTTTCTAGTTGTTTTTATACTGGTGAATTTATCATTATATGTATACATTTATTACCAGCTATTAAGTCATACGGAATAGGTACATTTTGAATTCGCTAATTCTGTGGGTATTGTACCCAAAAGTTATTTTGCCATAATATTATACTTATTGATCTTTTATAATAATTGCTAAGAATATTATTAATAATCAATAACACTGAATGAAGGATGCTGTAGGTGCGAGGAGGGAGGTTAAATCGTAGTTATCCCTAACTGTTTCTTTAATAAATATACGGCTAAATGCTCTAATAGTCTAATAGCTCTGATACCTATACAACATCACTGATAACTACTATTGTAGTACCTATATTGTCTTTGTCTATATAGGTATTAGGTGTGGTGGTTATATTTCAATTTGGAAGTATTCACATGTATAATATGATATGCCTATCTGCTATCATTGGGGAATACTAAGCTAAACAAATATTTTTCAAAATAACACTACAGATAAGTATAATATAACATTATATTTAGAACACATTATAATATATTATTATGCATACATATAGAAACTTAAGTTTCGAAATCGAAATGGTTAATAATTTGATATTGTTAGATATTGCTCAGACCTATTATAGGTACCTATATATTTACTCTTAAAGTCCCAGCACTTTTCATCAAAAATATATTTTATGAATAATAATTAGTATGAATATAGGAGGTATGATACCTAATATCTATTTTGTATAAAGACAAGTTGTTGTACATATGGCTAAACTACTACTTATATTTATTAAATAAAAGTTACTCATGATTTCTAATTGTTGGTATTAAATGTGTTATAATTTTATAATTAGAAAAATACAATTTTAAGAATAAGTTATTATACAAATAAAAGCACAGTATTCCGATTATTTTAAAATAGTAGTTATGTATAGCCGTATAGGTACTTACAAAAAATAAGTGATGAATATTGTACATACAATTTTAATTCAACTAGTTTGTATTGTATATATTAAAAACTATTATTACTATTACAGTAATACATATCATAATTTATACTAATATTATTAAGATACATCAAAATGAATAATAAATACTAAATATTAAATCGATATAATCTTATAATAAATAGTTTAAGTGCAATAAACGAAAATATTGAACTACGCGTTCTTTAACCACGATATCCTTAGACATATTTTTGATCAAATCTAACTTGTTTTGAAAATTTGAACATCATAATATCTAATAATATTACTGCTACAGGTTTCGTCGAGCCCTAATCTTTATGTTAATAAAGAATATTCTTCGGACATATTTCATTATATTTTATAATGTAATTAATCTAAAAGTCTACCTACTACGATAAAAAATGTTTTAGTTAACATTAAGTTAATTGATTGTACAGCCACAATTGAAATCGTATGAAGTACAATTGTGTCCCAGCATTAACTTGACTGCTTTCTCAACATCTTCATATAGGCAAATCTTGTTTCTGTCAGATTGACGTTTTCGCCGTAATTCTGGATTTGCTGTAGTTGTACTCGGTTCTACAGGTAATTCCTCTATGACATCGCCTATACCGTAATTTGTATAATATTGTGGTAAGAATTCATGTACAATACGATACCGATTTTTTCTATGTCCTGCACTTGTAGTTATTTCATCAAGAAATTCCCAATTTTGATGATTATATGGTGTTACTGAATGCGGAAGTAGTTGTCTAAACAAGTCAGTTACTCGATTAATAATAAAAAATTTTTCAATTCGCTGGTCACTGGTAGACTCATGGAACATGGTTTCAAATGTAATCATATATAAATTTATTAGTCTCAAGATATTATAACGTTCGGGTCCAATAACGTATAGAGCATTTGTTTCAAAATCATCGCCTGGATCATCACTTCTGGTGGATGGACCGATGAATATATTGGCATTTGGCAGGAAACCATACGAAAAATCTGTGAATGTGTTTTATTATTTCTAACGGATTATGAGCAGTTTCTATCAATTCTCTGCGTGTAACGGTATTAGTACTTAATAATAGTTGTGCAACAAAATTAGTTCTTATATTACCTATGTTTATGTTATCAAACCCATTATCTGATGTAACAATAGACATTACAGTGTCCATAATAGCATATAATGCATTACATACATTTCTTTGAATTTGTGAGTTAAATGATAAAACCCTATTAAAGAAAGTTCTTATTCGTGAAAATGGTATCACATGATGTCTTGAAAATTGTATATTTTCGTTGTTAAAAATGTCTCGATTCAATACATCTGGATTGCGTAAATCTATAGTAGTTTCATTTGTCAATGATCGACGGTCAATATGTAGACAATTAAACTCTAAGTAGTATTTCGGTGGTATACCACTATGTACATTTAAAATCAAAACACACAACGACATGAATACCACGAAAATTAGTTTCATTTTTTTGAATACAATTCACTGGCGCCACCGTATGACGTGTCAAAAAAATAGAATAAACTAACACTCGTATCATTGCATTGGTCTTTTATACCTCTTTTTGTCATAGACATTGACTCTTTTTTATATATCAATTTAGACTCTACTCTACATAGTAGAATTTAAATCATTTAAACTAAGGTTATTATAATTTATGATAATAAAAAATATTATTATGAATATACTCATTTTTTTATGTCTTGTAAATTTATAACAGAGGTATTTGCATGCAAACACAATTGTTGAATGAATGCGCAAGAGCAACAAAAGTGCGATTTAATTTACGGTGTGAGTTGTTGGCCCGTTTGTACAGATACATCGTATTCGTATTTTTACAATTTTAATTGTTGTAACGGACAGCAAAGAAATATAGACCAAGATGTTGTAAGTTAGGAAAATGATAGATTAACATTTTATCATAATTGGATATCGGATTAGGTACCTAAATTTATTAGAGAGCTGTGCTCCATCCAATTCTTACTCTCTACAAGTTTTACAATGTGTAAAATATGGTCCATCTTATTGTAATCGATATTCACCATAATAAAACAACAGTTTAGAATATTTTAAATGTATTTTAGTAATTTTCAAACGTTTAATTAACTATTCATAGTACGCATATATAAAATTGTAACAAATCAGTTGTCGGGTGAATAGAGAATAAACAATTTTTTTTTCGTTAATTTGTCCGATAATGTCTGTATCGAATAGTCAAGTGTACGCACGTCTGACGAGTACATATTCATTTATACTCGTTTAAGAATTTTATCATAACAATTAAAAGTTGAAAATAAAACTTGGATTTATACAAACGATCAATACGCAACCAGGTCGCAATAGCTGAATAGCACATAGATGAACAGGATTATATGACTGATTTGAACTGTATGAACCGTGCCAAAAATAAATGACGAGATGGTCAGGAATTGTGTTCGGCTAGACGTGAACGTTTTATTCTATTCTACAGCGAGAGCGAGTTAAAGTCATAATTTCGCACAATTTTTGTAAATACAAAAGCATTTGCAAATGTAAAAACGTACCTATAATGCCTAGCTATATAAATTTATGTTTAATGACGCTTCTCTGGAAGAATGCTTCAAGGCTTTAGAAATATTATTTTTATTTTACCGTACATTTATTAAAGTTTACAAAATTCTGCATAAATTGTATTTTTTCGTTTCCTTTTCTTTTTGCTGTAAATATAATTTCTCAGTATAACTAAACACTAATGATGAGTTACAAATAATATAATTATTGATATCCATTGCGATGTCCTTACGTTTTTATTGACACAACACGCATAACGAGTATGGGTTTCGATAATTTTTTTTATTTTCAAATGACAAGTTTTTTTTCAAGACCCATTCCAGTAATTTTAATGTACTTATCCCTTTATATGTATATATATATATTTATTCCTGAGGACTGTCGTCTGCCTTTAGCTGAGACGAGACTTGCTGTTCTCGCGGTGTTTAGACAGAAGTCCTGACGTACGCGTTTGTGGAAAATTTATAAACGGTTGAAACGATGAGAAGAACTCATTCAACACATTGTAGAAGGAAAAACAGCCAACAGAGAAGGTTAATCACAGGTTTATAAAAACTGTTCAGAGATTAGAAAAAAAATGTGGACCATAGGTGTAACAGTTATTATGCATGTATACCTACTATATTTAGGTACTTATTTATTTCAATAAATATCTTATTAATAGCAGTTATAGAGTCCAATGACCAAAGGTCAATTTGTATGAAACAACTTTTGGGCTTTAACTCTTAAAGTAGGTACTAGATATGTGCTATTTAAAAAAGTATATTGAAAAATGTATGGTGTGTGTAGACAATGCAAACACAATCATTCAGTGAAAATTTCATGAATAAATATTCATTATTTTTAGAATATCTAACAAGATAAGTTTATTGAATGACTGCGAGGCTCAAATTGTTTTTAAGAAGGTCGGTTTTGGGATTGCCTGGGATCAAGCTTAAAGACACATATTATATCCTCAACTATGGAAAAAGTTGTTACTTTCTTCCCTTCCCATCAATTTTATCTAGCAGAAAAAGGATTCAGCGATGTTGTTCAGCTTTTTTAACGAAGCAAAGAAATCGGTTGCATATATGCAATAAAGGTGATCTGAGTTCTTTAACCAACATTGATATAGACATCGAAACATTAGCTGCTTATCATCAGGCCCAGACATAGGTATGATATGACATTTTCTTTGTGTAGAAAAGTTTAAATTAGAGTAAAATTAAATCATTTATTTACTAAACATAAAGAGTTTTTATTTTTATTTTAAAAAACTGATCCATAAAGGTATGAGAATTTTTGTCGGAAGGGGGGGGGGGCGTAAGCCGTCAGACACTGAACCGAAAACGGTAAAGAGCCACTGGTCTAAGATGTATACAATTAATGTCCAGACTCTAGACCTAATAGGTAGTCTAATCATACATATTATTTTATATAGCAACCTATTTGCTAGGAAATAGGAATACCCCACATAAATAAAAAAAAAGTTATAATTCCATATTACAATACCATATTGTTATCAAATTGATAACGATATTATCATGACAACGTTATCAAATTTTGAATTCCATAGAATATAAATGTTGCGAATCGCGCGTAGAGTGCAATATTTATAAATGTATTGTGAATTGCGATTTTTAGATTCGTTGATTTTTGTAGACAATTACATGAATGAATGAATACCCTGGTATGGTATTATGTTGTCTAACAGCACTTAGCTTTTGCTTTCGACGACACAGTTTGCGTTAGTCATTTGTTTGTGCTCAGTTATTATAGTGGCATATGTATTAACTGAAATTATTAATGTCGTATGAAATACTACAGCCAAAATGCATTTACTACTGTAGAAAAACCTCGTAAGTATAAAACAAATGTTCAACTCACCTTTTTGTTTGGATATAGTCTGTTTTATTTTATCCCTTTGTTTGATTATTCAGCCTGTGGGCGTCATCAGAGGTACCTAGCAAAAATTAATGATAGGTATACAAAAATTGTTTGACTTGTTTGCTCCTCTCACTAATATCTGCAATCCTATACTTAAATATAGCTATTTGCATATATCGTTGCAATATTTTCAATATTTAGACCCAAATATTAAAATTAAAAATTAAAATCTGTACTTCTTGCACTCTTATCAAAAATAATTCAAACTATTACGAGTTATTAAATATACCAAACTTATTATTTGTAATTTGGCCATACTCATTTAAAATGGTTGCATAAGTTCCCTTCGATACCCTTTGAGCTCCTATGATTAAGTCCACAATGTGTGTTACGATTAAATAATTACTTTGGTAAGAAAAATATGTCCATTTTCATTAATTCGTACATAATCGTGCAAGCATAATACTAAAATAATCACTAAGTAGAGGATGAAATTTGTATTTGATTGAACATTAATCATTAATAGTAGAAAACTATCTATACAGTTGATACTGAAAAAATAGCTGTATGACACTAACAAAAAAAAGTACTACAACCTGTAATAATACAATACTAACTTTTGTTCTAGGTTTGGATTTTCAATTCAAAATAAAGGAAGTTGGAATCTCTAATATTTTTTTTAATTATTTCATAAATGTCTAAATCTTATGTTATCTTCTCTGTTAAAATAATTTAAAATGTTTTGCTGGCCATATTTGAAAAGAAATTTAATTTTTCGTATTATATTTTTACTACTTATTTCTTTGGTTATTGTGTACAATTTGAATTTTCTTAGTAATATTGACCATTTCTTAAATTCATCACAGAAACATTTAATTTCTTGTTACTTTGAAGAAAAGAAAGATAATTCTTTACCTGAATTAAATCCTAATGAAGTAACAAAGAATAGTATATTCTTTATTGAAACATCATGTAACCATAAAAATGGAATTAATTTAAATCTGAGACAAGGCTGTGCTATAGAATCTGCAGCAAATTTAAATCCTAATTTAAATATATTTGTTTTATTTGTTGCTCCTAGTTTCATAAGCAATGAATCTGATATTGTTAATAGATTTAAAATGTATTCAAATGTTAATCTAAGATACATAAATTTTGTAAAATATTCCCTTAATAGTCCATTACAAGAATTTGTGAGCTCAAACACCATATCCACAAGTCAATGGCCAGTTTCTCATGCAAGTGATTTATTGAGATTCTTAACATTGTGGAAATTTGGAGGGACCTATTTGGATCTAGATGTAGTTCTAATGAAGTGAATATCTTATTTTGTTGAAGTATATAAACAATTTAATTATTGATTTATTTATTGTTTAGATCTTTGGAGGGCTTATCAAATTTTGCAAGTATTGAATCAAACACATCAGTTGCTTCACTTGTATTGAATTTTGATGTTGATAAAATTGGAAGAAAAGTTTCAAATACTTCAATCAATGATTTCGCTTCTAATTATTGTGCTGATAATTGGGGGTATAATGGCCCTGGTGTTATAACCAGAACACTTAAAAAAATCTGTGGTACAAATCTGGTGAGTAAATAAAAAAAAATCAGTGTATATATATTATTTATCATAAACCAGGATATCTATCTTTATTTGATATTATAATTTAAAACTGGTTTAGGCACCTTAGGCTATAGATTAAAGTTATATAGTTTCTACAACTACTAAAAAAAGGTATACTAAATATTTACTAAACCTAATAACTTGAAATTCTGTTTCAATGATGACAATATTTTTATGGTATTATAAATTCGTACACATATCCATCCAACAACTTAAAATTATAATTGCTTGGAACAAGACTTTATAACTAAACTTTTTTTGTGTACAAATTATATTTTGCTTGGATGCTAAAGGTTGTAGAACACATAATATAATTTTATTTCTAGATACTGTTTACTATTTCAAATTTTTAATCGGAGTATCACATAGTCAAAATATGAGATTTTTATTTGGTGAGGGGTTCTAAATTTTAAACGCAATACCTAACCTTTAATTAAAAAATTGTACATTAATATCACACTCATAAAAATGAGTTACTAGGAATGGTAAAATTATATTAAAATAAAAATATGGATGTTGTTGATCTTTCATTAAATTCAGCTAGCAAGTTATGCCATGTACCTATATAGTAATAATAGAGACTTCAGCTTGCAAGGAGGAATCTTCTGAAGATTCTTAGAAACAATAAGATAAACTCAATTGAAAACAAAAGAAAACGACCGTCAGCAGGGCCGGATTAAGGTTTTTGCCGTCCATAGGCTGAAATAAATTTACCACCTAATTTACATAGGTATTAATATTTTACTAATATCCCAACGTAGTTTTTGGGTCACACCAAAAAAAAATTTGCCGCCCTAGGCTTTAGCCTACACAGCCTAAGCGGTAATACGGCCTTGACCGTCAGTATAAATAACAAAATAAAAATAAATGTATATTTATGTATTATTAATACATAAATAGTAGCAGATGTCAGTCCTGGGAATATAGATTAACTATAGTGAAAAAATAGAAGTGTTTGAATACCAGTTTTCTTAATCGCTTATTTTAACAATAATATTTATGCTTACTTTAATACTGAAAAATTATTCAAAATCAAATTTTGATTCACTTCAACAAATACCAACAATTTAAAGCTAATCAAATCCAAGTAACTGGATTTAATATATTTTAATTTCAATGCGGGTATTAAGAAAGCCCTTTATTAATTTTAAATTTAGACTAAAAAAATTTACATCAAATAATATTGACTGTAAAATAAAATATTTATAATTAAGATTTATATTCGATAGTTTAACTTTAATACAATTTTTTATTTTTCTAGGTAACTGATATGAATAAACAAAAATGTAATGGATTTATGGTGTTTGGGACAGAAGCATTTTGTCCAATTAGTTGGACTGATTGGCAGCTGTATTTCAATACAAACACAAGTGATAAAGTAATGATTAAACTTAAAGACAGTATAGGTATTCATGTATGGAATTTACATAGTAAACACACGCCTATTAACATAGGTTCAAAACAGCCATATGGTTTAGTTGCAAAAAAATATTGTCCTATCATTTTTTCCATGGCAAAGTCTATATTTTAATTCGTTTTAAGCACCGATTGAACAAAAAATAACCCAGAATTGTACAATTTTTTTTATGACAAATTCTGTATTTTTGGCAGCAATTGAACAAAATGAAACCCAGATCTAATTCTTTTGCTTAAAAAAGTCTATATGTTAACTAAATGAACAAAAATGAATCCAGAATCTCTAAATTTTAATTTTATACTATAATCCGTCCGCCGACTGAACGCTACTGAGCGACGAATAAAACTGGTCCATTTTCGCGCATAACCACCACTGAACCTCCCAAAAAACTAGCCGCTGCTACTGTTGCAATGAGTAAGGGAATCTATAGCAATGAGCAGGTAACTAGGGTGGGAGAAATTTGGATAGGCGAAAAAGTAGCTTTCTCTCGGCGACCGGATTAAAGGCCATTGACTTAAACAACCAAAGTTTGCAACTTATGAACTTGGTTATTTGTGATGCTGTTATAGTTATCTATATAAATTGAATGTAATGTCTTAATTCGGTAAATAAAAATATATTTTTTTTATCTTGTTTTTACCTTCAACCACTTATATCACAACATAAATTTGAATATGAGATTGAAAATTATTCATGAGTTGGTATTTTAACCGATAATATATTTCTTTGACTTTCCAGGATCCTTAAAACTGGGTGTTCTGGAATAGTTACATAAAATACGATCTCAATGACTATTATATAAAAAAATCTAGATGTAATTTCCAACTGAATGGATGATTATAAATTAAACCAATTCGTCTTTGACTTGCTAACTCCAGATTCAGTCCAAATTAATACATTTTAAGGATATTGGAAAATAATTAATTCAATACATAGGTAGACTGAAATGTCTCCAAAGATTTTTTATTTTGAGTAGTAAGCGTTTCATATTTTTTTCCACATAGTTTTTCAATTTCTTACTTAAATGTATATATTCAATTCAGTTTCTTTGAGTGCATCAATAAAAATATGAATACTTATGTGCAATGCATAGATTAAAAACTATTAAGTTTTTTTTATGCAAAATAATGATAACATGAAGTAAATCTTGTTAGTGGTTACTATTATTGTTTGTCATTATATATGGTACCTAAATAATTAGAAGATAATGATGATTTTTACCTTTGTAAGCAAGCATATTAAATTACCAGCATATTATGTTTTTTCCAATTTAACACCAATAATCAAATATTCCATATTGAAAACGAAGAGAATTATCTGATCATAAAATATTCATTGTTCATTTATAATCTCCTTTTATTACACTAAATTAACATTTATGTTAAAAATAACTACATGAGCACAATAAGTTTAAATGTAGGGATAATTTGATCATACATTAAACAAATATATTATGAGGTTAATACACATTAAAATTAAAAATATGATTAATGCTCTAGTTATTTTTCCTTTGATGTGTATAATCTTGTTAATGGTATTAGATTTATTGTAATTTTTTGTTGGACAAATTATCAACAATCTTACTGCTCAATTGTGGTAATATTTTAATGTATTTTGTAAAACATTGTGACGTACATCCTTCAGCTTCTTTTATATATTTATTCATCTAAAAACAAAAAATAGCCTATTAATATAATAAGATAAACAGTTAATAGTAGCATTTTTTTTTGACTAGGTATAGGTATTAATGTATTATTATATTTTTAATGAAAAGTTTGAAAATGAATTAAACTGAAAAAAAATATAAATTCAAACTTTTTGATAGGTAGGATTTTGTTTTGACATAGTAGAAAAAATGTTCATTTAACACTAAAATAAAAGGATTTAAATGTATTAATATTTTTTTATTAATGATAAAATCAATTTTTGGTATAACAAATACAAGCTTATCCTAAGTGGAACAAATGGAATAAGTGAATAATTAATGATAACTTAATCATTCTATGTTTCAGAAAAATATAGTTATTATCCATTATAAATACAAAAGTATTTGGAAATTAAAACCATAAATGTGTCAAAACTGCAAACAAATTATTCTGTCTGCAGACAGCAAAACATTTTTTGTTCAATAAAACTGTAGAAAATATGTTTTCTATTTTTAAATTTATAGGACATGTGTAGACTTAATCTTAATACATAAAATATACTTTTATAGTGCACAACTTAAACATGAATACATGATAATTTATTTTACTTTATCTACAAAAAAAAATAAGATCATTTGCCAAAGCTGAAGTATCATGAATTGTAAAAAAAACATGCATTTAAATAAATTTAAAAATTAATTAAATTTTATAAAATAGAACATATTAAATTGCAAGGCTTTGTTAGATTAACATGATAAAGAAAACATTTAAATTAAGTGCATTGAAAACAAACATAAATACATAAAATGTAAAACAAAGAATTTTACTAACTTTTGTTAAAAAAATTGTACATATACAAAAAAACAATAAGTATACTTCATTAACATGAAATTTATTTAATGATTCAAACTATATTAATTTTACAAACCTCATTTTCGTTTCGATTTCTCTCACTGGGCATTTTGTCCATAACAGCATCACCACAATCTTGAACACAACGCTGTATTCTATGCTAAAATAAAAATAAACATAATATGCATTTTTAAAAATCTTAATACTATGAAGATGTAAGGTTATAATACTATTCAATTAAATTTAACTAGTATTAATTTTAAAAATTGAAAGATAAGGACAAAAAAAATTCTCATTATTTCAAAATGTATAATATTTTTAAGTTTTCTAAGTCTACTTTTTTGAATGACAACATTCAGTTTTATACCAAAGCTGTATCAGTGTGCGGTTAGTCTGCAAAATGTTGGTCCAGTACTCCTAAATTCAATTTTTATGGAAATACTTATACAAATACTCTGCTTTCCAAAATGAAATTCAAATTATATAATTTTAAAAAGCAAAACAATTATTTTTTAATATAATTTTTAGTAAAAATGTTGTTTTAAAATATACACCATGTATTATACCATTATTTTCAAAAACATAAATCCTTTTTGAATAAAGTGTTATACGTTAAATGAATCACCCGGTTTATTATAAAATATAAAGTCTGTAGTATTTATCAATAATACTAACAATAGAATAAACTGTAAATAATATTAGTTAAATAAAATTTGACTTAAATTAATAATTGCATTTAAATTAAAAGAAGAGAACAATACCTGCCACTTGTTAAATTCATTTTGAACATAGTTTCGAGCAGCTGTTACTTCCTTTGCACAATTTTCATTACACACTTCCAATGATTCAATGTTTTTTGAAGGGTCCCTACAACATTCAATAGCGCATTGATGCATCTGAATCTGTGGAAATAAATTATAATAATAGTAATAATTATTATCATATGTGCATATGGATAAAATGCATATATTATATAATGCATACAATTTTAGATTATATAATATTAAAATATGTAATGTAAATTGAAATTATAAAATACTAATGCAACCACTGAGCAATATAATATATGTTACTGTGAAAGACTGACATTGTAGTAACTAGTAAATTAAATCTGAAAATATAACTGTTAAATATATGCAAGAAGTGTTTAAAATAATCATAATAGATTAAATAACTTGTTGGCTGCCAATACTAAAAAAAATGAGTTGTGGAATGATAATTCACAAATCAAAATTATAGATTATGTAAGGTCATCAAAAATTGGTACTTTTAGCAAATTATATATTAACATTTAGTAAGCAAAGAAAAGCGTTCTTGATCATATTTAAATGTAATTAGTTTGATGTGCATTAGTTGACTTTATTTCATCTACCATATAAAGTGATTATTGAATATTATGTCGAATGAAAATAAGAGAGGAGTATCTAAATCTTAAATTACAAATATAGTTCTAATAGTATCACTAATTTACGTTTACTGGATATTTAGTTAAGGTTATAAATGTTGCGATTGTAAAGTGCTTTACGAAAAAAAAATCTGGTTGCAATATAATGTTATTCTAGTAGATACGATAGATCCCACCTTATTGTAACAAATAGTATTTAAAATATCAATTCCTAAGAAAATGTTTTTATGGTATTAAATAAGCATGAAAAAAAACTAAAAATTAGATATTTACTTGCAAAGTCCTTAAACATTTTCTATCTATGTCATTTAAAACATCATATACTGCACTCTGCATGCGGCGTTGTTCTTCTTCCATTGTAGAAATAGTTCTGAAAAGTAATAATACTACCAATGACTTATACATTTTTTTAAAATTTTAAAATATACGGTTAAGTATAATTTATTTAATTAAAAACAATTTATATATTTTAAATATTATTCTTTATTTCAATCAATTCATAAATATCTTAAAATTATATTTATTAAAGGTAATTCTAAGGATCGGTATTTGCTATTGATTTGTTGATTTCCACAGCATAATTCTTATATAGGTATATTTATCTATATATTTACTTCTTGTTATATTTTATAATTTAAGCCACAGTATGAGTATCAGAGGGAGTTTGAAAAGTTGGTGATGTATAATACCAGTGCCCAAACAAAGTTTTAAGGTTGGATGGTCACTCAGTACATTGGTAGTATTAAAATACGAAAATTATAAGAATGTATTATATCATATATCATTCAAGTAATAATATTAATTAAACACATTTACAATAAGTAATTAGTTTAGTTGGCATTCTACAGAATAATATATATTTTATATTACCTATGCATATAAATTTTAAATTCTTATTCCAGTAGTGGTTATTCTAAAATGTGGATAATGATAGTATTACATCATATGTAATATAAATTTGTTTGCCAACATTAATCAATTAGTGGTTGCCTATTTAAACCGAAATAAGCAAAAACCATTTTTTACAATTTCAAAAAAAAAGATATTTCATGTGTACCTTCTGTAAGGTAAAACAAATAAAAATGACTACTAAATAAAATAATACTGAAAAATATTGCATACTAAGTAAAACAACTGGTTGAGTACAGTATGATGTAATGGCACATTGTCTAACTTGGTTATAGTGGATCTGGCTGACAAAATGTGTGTAAGATTCAAGCTTATTGCAAAATTCAGAATTTATTAGTATTTGCTATTTAGCATAATTAACTTCCACAGTTCTGCTGTTTTAAAATATTTTCAAGCCTTATCAAAGGAAGCAATGGCTCTCGATTGTAGGTGCTCAATTTCAAAATAGACCTTAATATTTTAAAGATTTGTATCAATCAGACAGTGGGCGATGACAAGCCAATACTAGCTGTGTCCAGCTGTGTCAATTAAAATAGGTAGACAATACCTTAGTGTATAATACGTCCCATGACTTATGCTGGAATACACTTCTAATCAGTTGACATTTCAACCATTTTTTATAATTTAAAATTTCATATATATAATACAACAAAATTTAGCACTTTAGGCTTTAAACAAACAAGTTAAAATATTTTATTGAATACTATATACCATAGTATTACAATATTAAAATAGATTATTATGTAGTTAAAAGGATGTCATTTTGAGGTTCCTCGACAGCTAAACGTAAAAGCCATAAATTAAGTTGGTACAAAATGAAAGTTTGTAACTTACATCGTTGGTTAATTAAATCAGTCACGAAAAAACTTCCACAGCACAGGTATCGAGAAGAAAATCTGGTCAAAAATAAATATAAATAATATTGAATACAAGTCAATGTTCAGAATAGCAGAGCATCACACCGGCCGGCAAAAAACGTGATATTCTTCCATTGACCTTATATATTACAATATATCGGCTTTAATTGGCTTGAATGCTTGATTACGCTTCTCGGCAAATCGCCACTATCTTTCGACTGTTATCAGTTATCACCAGTTAATTTTTTATCACAGTTTACCGTGTTTTCAAATGGGCGATTATAAATTCCACCGATTGACCGATTGCACATTTGTACCTTTTTTGTACTTAAATGCTACAGGTACGAATTGTTTTACCTATAAAAACAGGTAAATTGACGAGTAAAATTATCGTAAACTCTAAATTATAACATATTTTTTGGCCAAATATATTTTAGATCCTGAGTGGAGCGATGAATGTATTGATTTTACAATTTTGTATTTTAAATATTTTATGTGTCTGTACACGATTCCACGGACAGATAGGTTTACCGGGAAGTCAAGAATTTCCCGAAGGAAAAATGACTTATTCGGCTATCCACCCATGATACTCGAGATAAGTAAGTTGTCAAAATAATACTTCGATTTTGAACTCAAATTACTTTTCTGGTGGTAAAGTGAATCAAGTTGGTTCGATTGAGAGGATAAAATATAAAATTCACAGTATATAAGTAGTTAAATCAAAATATAAAATAAATGAATGATAAATGGGAATTTTTACTCAAAATCTACTTTTAATTTTGATTCAATCAGTTTATTATTTTGGTGTGACTAAAAAAAAAGCAGTTACTTGGATGTCGCTCTACTGATTAGGTCAGTAGGTTCAATACTATATGTGAGCCTATAATATCACTTAATATATTTGATGATATTATTGAGATTGAATTTATTTTACTACTAGGCTTTAGTACTACTGTAAGTTATAAATTTTATTCATTTTTGCCAAAAAATTTCATTTGAAAATTCATTGTGTTTAAAATTTAATAATATATTCTAAAAGTTTCAGTTACCCACGGATAATATTTTTAAATTATAACAAAAAAACTAAAATCGTTATTCTTGGTTTAGGTATAATTTATATATATATATAATTATAATATATATGTAATTATGTCCAAATTTGAAAAAAAATAACGATAAAAAAAACCATGCTTATTAATATTTAAAAAAAATGTTTAAGTATAGGAAACCATAAAACATACATTCTGTGTAAAATCTAATAGGTATCTACGAATATTCGTTATTATTGTGAATTTACTCTTAAATATTTTATTTTATTTCTACTAACAACTTTCGAGGAACCTTGTATTACATTTTCAAGTTTCTTGACCGAATAAAAAAAATTTTATTCGATATTAATTTTGAAAAAACTTAAAAGAATCAAAAATTTGATATGCCTATAAATAACTCAACATGAGTCTAAATATTTTGATAATTGTATGGTGTATAGAAAATGTTAATGTCAATATTCAGTGAACGTCGCATGTATCAACTGTTATTTGTATTAGATTTATACCAAAAATCAAAACCGATTTTGCGTAAAAAATAAGTTTTCTTAATTGTTTGTTTGTTTTTTCCGGTGCTTTTGAAAACTACTGGGAATTAACTATGTTGACCTCCCGAATGCACCGCAACCAGATTCACTTCCCTACCGGAAAAGATACAGAAGTTGAAAATTGAAGCATTATTTCGATTTTCGACTCCTTATCGACTTATCGTGAACACAATTATTTAAAAAGAAACAAACATCATTGTAAAATCAATACATTCATCGCATTCGCTCAAAATTTAAAATAGACCGTAGATATTTAGATATTTTTTAAGTCAGAAATACCGCACTACCTATGGTAATAATTAGTTAATTGTAAAACAGTGGTCCTCATTATTCTTTTTTCCGAGTACCTACCACCTGTCGGCCTACAAGCTACAGCCAAAAATGCCGTTAAGACATTTCCATGTAACATTAATTGACCTAGTAACCTTTTTTTTTAGTATCAAAAATGTTTACGTTATTTTACATAAATGGAATTTTATTGTATTAGAAACTACAAAATTATGGCAAATAATTATTTAATATCTTAATACCCAAAAAAAAAAAAAATAAAATTTTATATAGAATTATTATTTTTTTATTTTATTTTTATTTAAGCTTCGGCAACTGAGGCCATTAGCTATAGGTTATGTCTTATGTGGTACTGTAGGGTTTTGGGACTGTAGGGTTATGGAACACGTGTGTGTATTCTTATTATTATAAATATCAAAAAATCCAAATAATATATAATGTAAATAGATAGTGATCCATTCCATTTTTTTTTATAAAAGTAGATTCTAAACTTAAATTATGATAAAAAACAGTAAAAATATAATTGTTGTACGAATACCGGAATTAGCAATAAATAATAATACTTACTCTTGAAAAATAAATATAATTAGAACTTTAAATGCTTATGAAAAAAATCGTGCCTATCGCCTGTGTATTTTGAATATTTTTCAATTGCTATTTTAACAATATATCAATATTTTTGTACATTAAATTTTCATCCTTTTTGACCTAACCAATACAATTGTATGGACATTTATAGAAAAAAAATATAAATTTAAAATGTCCGTCAACAGCTTAAAACGTGTATGAATATTGAATTGATAAATTGTTTTTGAATTACAACAAAATAAGAAAATCGCTACAAGAGTAATCGAGTGAATATCCAATGTTATATCAATTTCAACTTCAACATTTTTTTTTTTGATAAAGCCATAAAGGTAGATAAACTTATACGGAATCTTGTATTAAATTGTAATTGTTTAAATCTTAGATATAAAAAGAAAAATTTTTATGAATTTCTATCTAAATATAATTTTGCAAATGTTCGTGATTTTTAAAAATTTTGTCTAAATTCTAAGTTTAAACACTCATAAAAGTCATTGTGGATTTAACTCAACTTTTTTTTTAATTCGCACTAAAAAGTACTAAAAACAACTTACGAGGAACCTTGTATTACATTTATACAAGACATTTTTTTTGACATAGGGAAAATTATTTTATCAACATTAGTTTAAAAAAAACAAATAATAATCGAAAACTTCATATGCCTATAAATAGTTCAATACAAGTCAAAATATTTTGAAAATTGTATGGTGTATAGAAAACGCAAACACAAATACTCAGTGAAAATTTCAAGTATCTACGGTAATTTTTTTTAGTTACACTAAAAACCAAAGTCGATTTTTCGAAAACTGGTTTTGAGTAAAAATTCTCGTTTTTTCTTAATTTTTTTTTGTTTTTCCCGTGGCTTTTGAAAACTATTGGGATTTTAAATTTTAACCTCCCGAATGCACCAGCTAGATGCACTTTCCTACAAAAAAGTTGCTGTTAAAGAAAATCGAAGCACTTTCACGGCAAGAAACTGTGATGACAGACATAAAAACAAATACACAAATGGAACAAATCTAGTTAAACTCGATTTATGCCGAATGGCAAAATTTGATGTTTCAATTTTCATGCAATTCGGCATTCGACAGTCAGGCTAGTGGCTACGGCCTACGGCATTGCGTTAATAAAAGAATATTCGAGTGTTATCACAGAATAGTTGTGTTATCATTAGGGTCTTGTGACCGTGGTTATTTATCACGTCGTGATTTTTCTCGTTTCTAATCACAGATATATGAACATGTATGTTTATATACCTGTGTTTCTAACCCAATCTTCGTAAATCGTAGAACGTCGAACTTCGTCCTTGTTGATAGTATTATTATTTGTTTCGCTTCAGATCTCGTTAGTTACATTTTGTATTATCAATTATCATTTATTACTGTATAATTCAATATTTAATATTTATACTGTAGGTGTCTGGTGTATATACTTTATTTTTATATTGTACTAAATTGTAAATTGGTTTGGCGGACAGCGATTTAATTGCTTAGATAGAATAGTATATTTATTCACGTTTATAATTAATGTACTGCTAGTGTTTTTGGTTGATGAATTTAACCAGGTAAGGTCAATTTGAAACAGCTTAATTTTTCACTCCATACTTGTTTTTATTTTTGAATCAACTTAAATATCAATAGGTCTTAAGCAACAATGCCGTTAGAATTCAATCCAAATCAATAGTTTCTCAAAATTATTTAGTAAATATAATTTCCAGAAATAATTTGTAACAAAATATTTAAAAAATGTACTATTCATTTATCCTTATAGGTTTGTTTTTTGTTACAATTCTATCGATTGGAAACAATATGTGCGCAAAACAAAATGTATTAGTATAGTTTAATTCTAAATACCTCTGCATACCTGCATCGAAAGTAATGTCATCTTTTGGAAACAAAATGGATCAGTACCTATGTGTAAAAAAAAGTACAGTTTAACTCTAAATACATTTCTACATCGAAATTAACCATAATTATAAATTATTATATCAGTTAAATTTTCTAATAATGATTTCTAAATAACATAGCAATTTAGTATAAATCAGTTACACACTTGTCAAGTCCATTACACAATTTTTCATTTGTAATATCCAAATAATAACATTTATATTATTTTCATGTAGATACAATTGTTAACATAATATTAACGATAAAATATAGAATTAAGCCTCATTCACACGGCGACAGTTGCATGACACCAGTGTCGCGATATCAACGAAATTAGATGTACGACACTTGTGTCACGACACAATATCATTAGTGTCACCGTGCGAACGAGGCATTAAATCATTGTATAAGGATTAATAATATTACTAAGTAAACAATGATTTCGTTTCCGTTAGTTTCTACTGCGTTGTTTTTTGTTGTTAATATTAGGTAAATATATTATATTCTTTATTGTTTGATTTATTTATAATTATTCAGCAATGTTTTTTGTTTGTATCCATTTGGATTAAGCTGTAGTAGTAACAAGTAACAAATATTAAACATGTATTATAAGTAACATATTTAAAATGCTTATTCTCCAGTATCCAATATTATTGGACCTATTATTTTTGATTCATTGAAAGAAATGCATGCAATTTTTAAAACTACAGTAGAATCCACTTATAACGATCTTCAAGGGACTTACCGAATCAAATAATTTATCTGAACGACTAAAACATTCTGCACGTGAGTTATAAACCAACCAAGTATATGGCTGGAAATTGTTTTATTCGCAATAATGTTATATTTGGCATCGTAATAAGTGGATTCTACTTTATATTTTTAATATTAAATTTTATCGCCATTTTAAATTAAAGTAGGTTCTTTATTCTAGCTTTAACATATTATTTTATTAAAAAATAGTGTATTTTTCATTTTTTTATTGGTAAAATTAGGTAAGTTAATGTCTAAAGTATGTTGTTTTACATTTAATGGCTTATGTGTTTCTTAACTATTGTTTCTAACCTTTGTTTTGTAACTATTTTACTACCATTGTCAATTCGATTTATACTATAGGGTAATACTCTGGGTAATTTGTATATACTAAAAAAAAGGTTTCTCTAGTATCAGAAACTGCAAAACAAATTATGAACATAAACTAACTCAAATACTTCAAATAATTATTTTATATTGATAGATAATTTGAACGATTTGAATAGATATTCTTATAAAAGGTATTACATGTCATACTATTTATAACTAATGTACAGTAAACTCTCGATTATCTGTGGTCTTCCGCAGAATAATCTGCAGCAGTGTTTCTTAAACTGTGTTTTTAAACCATTAAATGGAGATCACTTTAGGGTTCCGTATTACTTAAATGCTTTTTTGCAAATTTTTTAAGAAAATTATTTTAAAAAATCTACCTAACTAAAAATTAGTGTCGCTTTGCTATAATTATTTTAAAATAAAATGCAAATAAAAATTAAAAAAATAAAATAAACAAAAATTTGTGGAGGTTAGTGGAGAAAAATAATGTTTGTATATTAAATAATAATGTATATGATACAGTCTATACTTCTATAGTGTACTTACAGTGCTTATACAGTGTACAGAAATAATATTTTAACGTTGTTGGTAAAAATGTATAAAAAAAAAAACAAACTACTGCAACAAACTTGACATTGAAACTAATGTAACAATACAACTTTCATCAATGAAGCCCAATATTAAGAATATTTGTAATATTAAAAAGTAATTTCACTTATCTCATTACAATTTTTTTACTATCTTATGCTATTTTTATTATAAAACATTTTTGAATTAAATACAGCTTACACTTTATTATAAATGAAGTTATTATAATTTTTATTGCAAATAATCTTTACATAAAATGACATATATTATAACTATTGAAACAAAGTAGGAATTCTAATTCTCAAGCTGTAATAACTATTGTTGAAAGCTAAAAAACTAAAAAAAGTTAGGTTTTCCATGGTAAAAGTGGACATAAAAAAGGTTTCACTGATAAAAAAAGTTAAAAAACGCTGATCTACAGCACTAAAAATATTGTTATACATGTTAAATTAATGTTCAAATAAAAATACAAATTGTACTTACTTAATTTTCTTTAAATACTGCTTTATATTATATGATATTTTTTTAATATATATAATAATTGCCTTTTTTGTTTTAATTTGTATTTTGTGGATGAATCAAAGAATTTACTTATTCATGGTTGCTTTGCCGTCCTATTCTGCAAAGAACCGAGAGCTTACTGTATATATTTATTATTTGTAAATAAAATATAATATATTATATTTGGTTATATTATGTTTCAGAAAAATAAAAATGGACACCTATAACATTTTTGAAAACTAGTGTTTATAGTATTATGTAAATCATTCAAAATATTTTGTGCTTGAAAATTGTCTTTACTTCATCATGGCTACTGTTGAAGAAATTGATGAAGCAGAACAACTTAGATTCTTAGCATTAAAATCTATGGTCAGAAGATCCAGCAAAAAAAAAATTAGTTCTAATACTGATACTGATGATCAAGATATATTGTTACTAAGGGCAGCTGCCTTAAAAACAATTAATAATAAAAGTTCTCTAAATAATAAAGACGAAAATGTTGTAAAAAATAAATTAGTTAATGAAAAAAAAAGAAGTATAAGTAGCCAGGTGTCTCCGTTAGCAAGTAAAAAAAGCATGAAACTGACTGACATGAAAAATAATAATTTGGTTAACAATTTTACTTACAACACTAGTATAGGAAATACTACAAGAGTTTCGAAATATGATTCTCAACAAGAATGTAAAAGTAAGCATAAGCTTGAATCAAACATTGAATCCCAAAGTAAGCCTGAGGTTATCATTAAAGATGACATGAAGAAAATAGTAAGAAATGGTAGTATTCAGCTTTCAAATTTGGATTCAGAAACGTTTAATGAAACTATGATATTACGTATAACATTTAGTTCATCAGAAAGTGATGATTCATCAAGTGAATGTGATGTAGTTAAAAATAAGGTATGTTAAATATTAATTATGTTAGAACATATTAATGTTTCTAAATATTTTTAAGGTAATAACGCAGAAGAAAAACATCAACAATTGTGCATTAAAATCACCAGTTCCAGGACGAAATGTTGGAGATAACCATGTTGAGGCAACCAACGCTAAAACATTAGAAGATAATAAGTATGAATTTTAAATTTTATACTAAAATAGTTTTATTAATGTATGTTATTAACCGTGTTGCACAATTTGAATCTTAATCTGTTAAATTACTGTTATTCCTGATTGAAGAATTATGACATTGCTACAGGTTTATGGATTTAAACTATTTAAATACCATTTTAACATAGTTATTATGTCAAAGTATTATTATAGCTTAACAGTTTTAATAAGTAAATGAAATGCCTACTTTTTTATTTTTTGCCATTAGTTGCATATTTAAATCTGAATAATATAGAATTATTTTGTTCATCTAGCTATTATTTTGTGAGGTAGACAATAGCCGACCAATCTCATTTATATCTGTTTTGAAAGCATTTTATATTTCCTGATTATTATTTCGGTTGCTTTATTTTAGAAAAATAAAATACTTTTGATAGTAATAATTTACACACATTTTAGTTATTCTAAGAAAATAATGCCAGTTATGTAACATCTAATTTTATATTTATGCACTGAGCATGCACCTTTTGTTTATTCGTTTAAACATTTTTTTCTTTTGTCATTGGTTTTAGTTAAAGTACTTTAAAAAAGTGTTGTTTTATTAAGCAATATCACAATATTCATTTAGACCATAGTTATAACAATTTTACAGTGTATTCTAGAATTTGATTCTATCAAAATAATATTTAGTTGTTTATAATATGTCTAAGGAAATAGTCCCAATATTGTTCCCAATACAACCATCAGGTACTTTTACCAATTTTTAAGGGGCTTATTATAAACTAAAGATATTTTAAACAATTTATATATGGTTCAATGTTATATATTTATTTTTTTTTATTAAATTAAAACAATAAACCAAAATCCTTACTTTTGTTGTATGTTTTCTCATTTTATAGTTTTATATTATACAGGGCACGGCAGTCATACCTGACGATTTTAACAAGAACTGGTGGACAGGGCTCAACTGGTAGAGATTTCGGGAATGTTCTTATAGCTTTTAAATACCTAGAATTTAGTAATGATAGTTTTGTAGGCGCTCAACGTGCGTTTCGTTGACAATTTAGTCTATTTCCTCTCGATCCTGTGCCTTCTCCTGGTACCATCGAACTGTGGGTAAAAAACTTTGAAACCACAGCTAGCACGACTCAAAACAGAGGTGGTAGTATAGAAAACTAGACGGACTCAAGAAAATGCAAAGCGGGTGAAACAAGCAGTAGGGAGAAGTCCCCGAAAGTCAGCCAGGCGTCACAGCAAAAAACTTGGCCTAAGTGATCGAACTGCGAGGAGAATATTGAAAAAATAAAGTTTTTAAATATATAACATAAAATTCCACTTGTGTAGTTTTTATTTGTTTTTTTAAATCGTCGGATTTGACTGCCGCTCTCGGTATTATAAATTAATTTTATAGACCTTATTTTTTGAGATTGTAGATTTCTATTGTAGCTATAAATGAATATTATTTTACGTTTTCATGAAAATTCACTAATTTTAAAGTGCCACATACTCAAAATCTATTATTTATCCTTTTTGTTTAAAAAATACCAATATTTAATAAATAACACAACAATTATACTTAGATGCAATCAATCATGTAAAGAATAAATTGCAGTTTCAATGTAAGGAAATGAATATATTAAGATAGACAGGATTTACAATGAAAATTAAGGGTGGAACCTGGAGGGGTTGTGTATGAAAACATTCCAGGTGAAGAATTTCATTTTAATTCCCAACATCATCTACGCAGTAAGAAAACAGTTTGTTCAGACAAAATCAGGACTTGTAAAACTTAATATTGGTATTTTGTTTATAAAAATTAGTTTTAAATGTTACCATAACTATATTTTTAGAACTAATTTTTCAAGTAAATTTATTTTTATTGATTCTAGTTCTGTTTTAATTCTTATGTAAAATAGTATTGTTTAGAAGCAATAATTGATATTATTTTGAATCTGTTCATACATAAATTATGTTTTAATATTATTAAACAGTTGAGTAGTGACTTGGGTTTTAAATGTTTTAATATTGTTCGAAACATTTCTAATAATGTTGGTTAATTTTTATTTAGTTGTTATAATTGTTTACCACCTATGCATTATTTTTACAAAACTAAATACGTACCGTTATTTTTACAAATATATTTTAGCCATGATAAAATAACATAGTATGATGGCAATCTAATGATATGCATATTCTTTACTCCGTCAACTATCAGTATCCAGTATTCCGAATCAGTTCTCCTCTTTTCATTGGTTTTCATGATTAACATATATAATGCATTATGAGGCGAACTGAATACAATGATATACATAAGACCCATCAATATTTCAGATCTTTGCCACTATACCATATTACTTTAGCATGGTTGAATAAATATATGTACAAAAATAGACAATAATGAGTATAACATACACAAATGATTAGGCACAAGGACTACACCAATTTTACAATAATAGATATTCAGCAATATTATGTATAACATCAGATAACAATAAAATTGTTTAAATTAACTTTTTTTCAGATTAAAAATGAACAATTGTATGCAGCAATTATGCGTACTTATGAGACATTGTGAATCAGAAATTGAAAAACGTAACCAACAAGTAGAAATATTATTGCAAGCATATGAAAAATATCAAAACCATAGTGAGTCATTGCGTTCCATACTTCGGTCTATGAAAACAGTTCGTGATGAATTGTCATTATACAGTTCTGCTGACCATTAGTATCATTGAAGCCTAAGTTCAAATCCTTACTTACTCAAAAAAAAAAATGTTTTATAATTATTATTTATATTTGTTTTTATTTGGTATCTTAAAATATACTACTTGTTTTTATCCAATTAGATACAAACTCAGTATGACTGGGTATTGTGATTGACAATATTCATAATTGTCATTGTATATTTTGAATATAATAAATAATGAATAGATTCCAAGTTATAAATTGTATTGCCATTTACATGAGTATATCTTATTTAAAATAAAGGTTAGGATTTTGAAATACTGTATATTATAATATGTTAAATATATAATGATTATCTGTTTGTAATATATTGATGGCAATTGTCTGTGAATAAATAGCATTAGTTAAACTATTTGACATCTTAAAAATGTATATTTTTTTTTAATTCATGAAAATTTTAACTGAAATTCTAACTAAATCAGCAAATACTTATCAATGTATAAGGTGAATACCATATCACCTATTTTTTAAATCATAATTACCTAAACATTTTTGAATACTAAAAATAAGGTTAAGCGATGTGCTGTTTGACATATTTATGATAATATTTATCGCGAGAGATTAGATTTTTATGTTCTAAAATAAATTGTAAGAATAAGATATTTTGTGCGGTTAAATTATTATAGAAAAATATTCTCCTTAAATCTTTAAAATAATTACTTATAGCAACAAAAAAATAATTTCTTATGTTATGAGATTTAAGTGTTCTAACTTAAAATCTTAGATAATCTAACTACAAAAAAAAACTTTCAATAAATTGTTTAGCGTGTTAAATGTTTTTAAAAAAACTGCAACAAATCAAAATCACAATTATAACTTGAACAAACAAGTTTCATAAAAAATCATACAAATGAAAACCATTTATGACAATATTAAAGCTTAGAACCATCATTGTATTTGATCAATGATCCCAGATTGTTGTAGAAGAAAAATGCATTACATTAATGATTAATACTAAGCATTACTGCTAATACTAGGGATATTAATAATTAATAATAGTAATAAAATAATTATCAATTTTCATTTTGCATTTACTATTTTTTTTTTCAAATTGCCTTTTATTAATTGTTCAAATATTAGAAATATTTCTAATATAAGTCGCAGGAAAATGTGTATAATTTTTTGTTTAATGAAATGCTGAGAAACCTCACCCATATGATACTGCATAGCCTCAGTAAAATCCCAATAATCTAGTCTCTGTAATTATCACACAAAATATTATTACAATTTGTAAATCTATTAGCGACTAGTGTACAAGGTAAGTAACTAGGTTTCGAGCAATCAATGAATTAGTTAAACAATGTTATTTCTTTATAAGTCTCATCACATTATCATTTATCTATGTTTCAGTTGTAAATTTGACTTTTATGCTACAATTTTGGTAAATTTTTCATATTCAGGAATCAGGATAATTAAGGTTTTCTATAATCTATAGTGAAGCTTAATTTATTTTCTCACAGTGTCAATTTGTTCAACTCTCTCACAAAATCTTTTGTTTTTGTTCACATCTACGGCTAACATAAAGATGTTGTATACTGTGTTTAATACTACAATCGTACCTCGACAGCTAACTAGTTAGCATAGGTGTGGTTCATTCCAGTGAAAAGGTTGAGGTGAGATAAGCAAGTTACATTGACCGTAATGAACGAAAGCTGGTCGCCGCCAAGATATAATCTCATTTCGAACAGAATGTGGAAACTTTGTGCATTTTTAATTCTTGCTATATTATAAAAGTATAACTTGTTAAAAAAAACAGCGCATAAACACACATAATGTTCTTAAGAGGACGCCACACCCACATGTGTTGTTGCACTCTTATAAACGAGTAACATACCAAATTTACGCTCAGCAGTTCAAGTTCTATGCCGTTAGCTTAAAAAATTAGAGTGAATCACCCTATTATGAAACTTTATGTTAAGAACTTTATCTGTTTTGTTGGAAGTTTTTTTTACAATAATTCAGTTTTTAAGTGAGTTATGAGCATTTTTGATTTACATTTATTATACAAGCATACCTCACATAAAAACTGAATTGTTGTAAAAAAACTTCCAACTAAACACGGATAAAGTTCTCATCATCAAGTTTCATAATAGGTCAATTTACTCTAATTTTTAAGCTGACGGCATAAAACGTGAACTGCTGAGCATAAATTTGGTATGTTAAGCGTTTGTAAGACGGAGACAACACATGCGGGTGTGGCGTCCTCTTAATATCAAGTAGTTTCATAATAGGTCAGTTCACTCTATTTTTCCACTTTGACCACTAGTTACGTCTTCTGAAGTCCGAGCATAAGCCAGACAAATATTTATTCTCTTATTATTTCAATAAGAAAATGTCCAAGTATAGCAAGCAACTATTAGTAGATTAATTTTCAATGGTCTAAATAATAATTAAGTGTAATTAATTTATTGACTTACCTGTTTGTTTTGTGAAATTTCTGTTTTACTATTAAATATAACAGAATCATAGTTGCTGGTTAAAACCATGTTCACAGCAAGCATTGCATACACACACTTATACATAAGTGATAACTAGTAACTGCTAACATTATTGACTGGTAAATTTTTTCATTACCGTGCAATATATGTTTTTAATAATTTACATTTAAAAAATTTATCTTTATGATTCGTCTCATTTCAAAGATGTGACACCTTTTTTATCTGATCATATTATAATAGTTCAAATTGAACAACAATTTAAAAAAAAATATTCTATTTATTAAAGATGTACTAAATACACAGGTAATATATAATATATATATACTTGTATATAATTTAAAAATAAAACATATTATAATGTGTTATTATGTTTGCTGATAAACATTAATAAATAGTTAACCATACCACTTTATATAATACTCTTTAGTTACTCAATTGATATATTCTTACTTAAAATATATGTAATTTTTTTATTTAATTTCTAAAAGTAAAAATGGTATTTTCCTTGTTCTATAATGATGAAGCAAATACATTTTCACTAAAATAGGCTATTTAAATAGAATATAGTTCCAAAAAAATTGTTGAATATTGTCAGGTAGTATAAGTCAGGTTTATAAAAAAAGGAACAGAAAGATACACAAATAATTATTATAAAGGATATCAATTATATTTTTGATTACTACATAAATTACATAAAAGATTAACTTACTGGATTACGGTTTACTTAATAGAGCAATACATTAAAGGATGACTGTAGGATAATCTAAATAGTAAATAAATATATTACTATAACATTATAAATTAGATGGAGTATATTATGCATTGATTTATACGTAAAATATTAATATATTTTTAACTACACAAAAATTTAATTTTGAGATTATTATTGTTATTTTATGAAAACGAGAGATTTTTTTTTTATAAAAACTACAATTATGTTATTTTATTAATTAATTTGTACAAATAGAGCTTTAATAGTTAAAATAAGATCCCCAGGACTAGAAAATTTAACAATTAAAAATGTTATATTAATTAAATGAGCAGATCGAAAATGTATAGTATAAATGTAGATAATATTATTAAATTTCTTTATTAAAAATATAAAAATGTATATATAATATATGGAAAGCCAAAGAGAAAAAATGTTGCTTTTTAATTCTTACATACAGTATTTTTCAATAATTGATTGTATCTATTAAGTATAAACACAATAAAGATTTGAAATCCAAACTTGTTGACATGAAATATTATTATTAACATACAAAGCTTAAGAATAACATTACAGTTTATCATAGTTTATATACATATTAATATCATTTGATTTTTTCTTTTTAAATAATCATAATAATTTAGAGTAAAATAATTTTGATCTTAAAAATTAACTGATAAATATTCAATACTCCTTAATCAAAATGATAATATAATATGCATATTTATTTATAGTACTTACTAATTTAAAAAACATACTCAAAATAAAATATTGTTTATTTAGAATAATAATTTCATGACTTATTATTTAAATGATAGTTAAAAATATAGTAATTACTAAGTTAAATACAAATTTTAAAAATGCTTATTACTGGGGATATATTTTCTTCTTTTTCTTACAAGAACAAGACTTAATATTTTAACATGGCTTCAGTACAGTACAATTTGTGTATTATTTAAATCTATTGATTTTTATAGTATAAATCATAATAAAATTATTTAATAGAATCCATTTATCATAATTTAATATTAATAAACATTGCATGGTAGTCTTGTTCTTGGCGAACTCCGTGTTATATTTTTCGTTGCACTGTAAATAATTACTTTAATGTAAAAATTTAAATAAGCAAATACTTATAGATAGTGAAAATTAATAATTGTAACAGCTTATAACTTTTTATGAGTAAAGGACATAAGAATAATTCATTCTATAAATTTACCAACTCAATTTTTTTTTTTTAATTGATAGCAAGTTGTTTTAATAATAGTTATAGGAAAATTAATGTATCATTGAATATGATGTTTTACTTGAGAACAATAGAAATAAAATATAGGTATAAGTGGAAAAATTATTTAAGCAAACTGTATTCTAAACTAAGCAGTTTAAATCCATATATGAATAAGTTTATGTAGATTAACATAAATATAATAAATTAAAAGAAGTTGATTTAAGTAGTATCACATCTGTCTTTTATTATCATAATTGAAAGTGTGGTTCCACTTACATTCTTTTAATAACCATGGGCAACTAAATGATCTCCAAGTTTTTCAACTACCAATGCAGCCTGTTGTGGTTGAACCGGATCTTCGTATAATGATACAACAATCGCTATAAATTAAAAAAAAAAATGATTAAAAAAAAAGATTCACAAACTAATATATTATACAGATTAGAGGTCGGCAACCTTTTTGATTTCAAGAGCCAAAAAATTAATTTAAAACTTTTCACGGGCCACAATTTGAATAAACCTTATTTTATTTTTAACAAAAATTTCAATGCAATTATTGAATACTTAAAAATGCTATTTTAATTCTCACATCACTGTATTGTTTATACTAAAAAAAATTATGAAAAATTATCAACATCCTCGAAAATAATTAATTCGGATTTATAAAATAATATCCTATCTAAATTGTCCATGAAAACTTATAAAGTAGGGATAAATGGTCACATCAATGAACATTTAAAAAATGGACGAAATCATTGTAAGCTCAACAGTAAACATTATAATATTATGACAAGGGAAATAATGTGCTTGCGTAGTACCCGTGTGTGTTGTCAGTGATGACACAATAAAATAAAAATAATGTATACATATAATATTTATTAAATTATAACTTACTTTGTTGAGTCTTCACACAATGAGCTCCCACTTTTCCTTGTTTGGCTCTTATAACTTTGTCAGTGCCCGATAAATAAATATAGCGAACACTAGCCAATG